ATTCAAATGCTTGACACCAGCTCATGTTGTTCATTCATTATTCAAGAAAATTATAACAAAAAAGCATTTAATACACAATCAATTTACATGTGTTTAGAAGTTAGCAAGTGATAACAGCAAACCAAAGTCAATGCATCAAATTGAATATGTAAAGAATGGATCCAATTCCCTTCCTGATTTTCTTACAAGAGAGTTTTACAAGGATGAGTGCCTTAAGAGGGTGTAGAGGTACTGCCCCTCAACGAGGACGAAGTCATAATAAAAATCTCTCACTATCAGAATTCCCAATATTGGGATCTTTCTTTAAAAGAGAGTGTCAATCTTATGCCCTCACTCTCAATCTTAAAATCAATGAAAGGTGATCTTTACAGAGGATCCACAGAAACTTGATATGTTTTAAGAACATATAATTGAATCAAATATAGTTTTCGAACAAGATGATCTTTAAGTAGTTTAATGTCCCTAATTATTGTGCCCAAAAATATTAGAGCCTAAACATAATTATCCTATTAAAAATCCCTTCAAAACCAAGTGTCATAGAAGGAAGTCAAACAGAGTTGAAGAATAAAAAAAAAGAATACCTTTGTTTCAACAGTTCGCTTTGCAAGCATAAGCGTCAAGAATAGTGGAACCATTGCAGCACACAAATGCTTAAGAGTGTGCCCACTGACAATATGATGTGTCCATTTATAAATTGGTTTATCTGCAGCTTCTTCAACCTTAGCTAAAAGATAAAATCCTGCGTGCTATGCAATTAAATGTTACTCAAAATGACACAAAAAACTAACAGATTTAGTAAACAGGAGAGCCCACATGATGAAAGATACAACCTGCAGCCCAAAGCCAGTATGTGGAATGTGTGTACATTGGAGGCAACAAGATAGCCATTATCGGAATTACAATGCAAGGAACAAACTAAACCAGTGCATATGGGCAGCGGTCATCAAAAAACCTGCACGTTACAATGCACAAGTCAACATACAATAAATGTTTTCTTGGAATTGTAGGGTCATGCTCATGCAAATATCTAGACAAAATTAACTTTAGATGTGAATCATTTGAACCTTGGGAGAAGTTCAAACACCAAAACATTTGTATTTATTGAAGACTCAAAAGCCAGTACAACAAAATGTTATATAATCCAATGGCACTGTCGCATTCTGGCCATTTTCTCCCAAACACAAGTATGAACTTCATCACCTAAAATAGAAAAACAAAATCCTTTATAATTGAGGAAAGATTCACATGCTTACCTCCAATACAATATGCTTAAACACCTGCCCAAAGTAGGGGAAGAATGGACACCATTCCCTTTTGCTCATCGATTCTTTCAATTATAAAGATTGCCATGATTGACGTGAATGCAATAGTCATCTATATAATTATTGATCAAGGCAAAACGAGAAATCATTTAACTGTATATGATAGATATGATGTTTGGGGAAAAGGATCTGTTGTTGACTTGTATTCGAGAATCGAGAATAAAGGTAATCACTTACACTATGTTTGGAAACTTATAAGTGAAAAGAATAGAAAGGATTAAGAGAAAAGAAAAATAAAGAAATGATTGTGATTTCTTTTCTTTTTGTTTGGATAAGTAAGAAATAAAAGAAAAGAAATTATTTGGATTTCTTTCCTTCTTATTTAGTTAGATTTCATAAGAGAAAATAAAAGAAATTATTTTATGTTATATTACCAAAATAACATTTTTATATTTTCAATCATTTTATTTCTTTTATTTTTACAAGGATAAAATTGATATTATGAAAATATTAGTTTCTTTTATCTTCCAATCTCTCCACTTTTGGAGAGATTGAAAATGAGGGTTATAAGATAAATGAGTTTCTCTTCATTTCTCTCAATTTCTTCCCATTTCTCTCCACTAAGTTATCCAAATAAGTAAGAAAAATACATATCTTTCCATTTCTTTTCTTTTCTCTCCAAATCACTCAATCTAAACATAACGTTAGACAATAATCTCAGCAGGACTGGCCCTAAGATTTAGGGGGTCTAAGGCAAATTTCTGAAATGGGAGCCCCTCTTACATTGGAAAAAAAAAAGTTCATGGATAAAACGATAAGTTACAACTTTTTTATTTGTTTGTAGCCACAAAAAAATTTACTTGCATATATAATCATTAAAATTATAAACAAAATAATTTAATAAAACAAAATTATGGCAAAAAATTAGGGAAAAATTATTCAATTAAAACTGATAAAGACCTAGGTAAAAAAATTAGGGCAAAATTATTTATTTCACTAAAATCTAATAGATAAAGAAGGTAAAAAAAAAAATTAGAGCCTATATATTGTATGTATTGTTCTTCTTGGCCCTAAACACTTTTTTTTTTAATATATACTTTCATTTTAATAAATATGGGTCAAACTATACTTATAAACAAATATAGGCTAAACTATACATGGGCCCAATGGGCCCTTTAAATTGATCCTAAAATCAAAATATATATATATATATGTATATTGGACCTAAAACATTTTACTAAATTTGGAGCCCTATTTTTAAGCCAAAATTTTAGGACTTAAGGTACAAGCCTTACTGGCCTTAAGCCAGGGCCGGCCCTGAATCTCAGTAACTAATTGTTGCTTATGAGCTTTACCTTTCCTTCCCACTACTGTTAGTATAATTTACATATGTAAAATGGTAACATAATCTATATCTTTTGCAATCTTCTCATTCTAAAGAGTTGTCCTCTTTATTTTTAGGCCAAAATTTTAGGACTTAAGACACAAGCTTTACTGGCCTTAGGCCAGGGCCGGCCCTGAATCTCAGTAACTAATTGTTGCTTATGAGCTTTACCTTTCCTTCCCACTACTGTTAGTATAATTTACATATGTAAAATGGTAACATAATCTATATCTTTTGCAATCTTCTCATTCTAAAGAGTTGTCCTCTTTTTTCTTTTTAAATTTTTTATTGACATTCTAGCAGAACCATATTTAAGAATTGTAGAAAAATTTAGTGCGGCCATTTCCCCGTCATAAAGAGAGATCCTTTTTTGATTCAATTATTGACATTTTACTAAATTATTGACATTTTAGCAACCATGTGTTCTGTCACTATATCCATCATACCTTGTATTAACTTTAGATTTATGGAAGTCCTGCAACAATTATCATCCAATCTGGTACCTCTTTCTTGTTTCTGAAGAATTTAGCTCCTTATTTTTTGCGACCAGACTGCTCAGTTTCTTCGCCTTTTAAGTTGTATTTTTAGATAGACTTTCTTTGTAGCTTTGCTAGACAGATTTGTCATTTAAATATGTTTTTCTATGTTTGAACCAACGATTTTTACTGCCATTGGTGTTTTTCTCCCCATATTTCCAATGCAGAGTTTGTACTGGTACAAAGTGTCCAAAAAAATGCCAATTTACACTGAAATTGTTCAGTCACCAGCCAAGCTACAGGTACTTTTTTGGTTTCATTATGCTACAGAGGCCAATATGTGCTAGTTCTTTTTTAGCATATTCAGATATCTACATCAATGAAACTTGGATAATTGTGAGTTGTGGTGGTGACTGGAGAGCAATGAAGCTGATTTCAGTGTGCATAAAAGCTCTATGACACATGATGTTGACTATAACTGTAGTCCTTGCAGTAACAAAGGGACATTGGTACAATGCAATGTCATGATTTGCGAAAAGAAATAAGGTGCGGATGGGATAATTTTGCCCAGTTTTAGCCGAACACTTTAAAATCAACTAGCTATAGAAGCTAAACACTTTATCTCTTATGTTATCATGATTGTAAATTTAATCATCCAGTGCTCTCACTGAAACGTCTAAGTTGTAAAAATGAGCAATATTTTTTTTTTAACCCCAAGCAGCAATATGACCCCAAATAAATTGTAATATATGCATATATATAAATATGTGTATGTGTATGTGTATGTGTACATATACACAAGATATATATATATATATATATTTATGTATATGCATATATTTGTATTTGTTTCCCTTGTTCTTTGTTAATTGGCAGATTAGATAAATCATTTTTTTCAACTTGCTTGACAAAAACATGTCGGAATGTCCTCGTATTGTTACTGTAAAACTGATCATGTAGCTTGTTTCCTTGAGAATCGAGACATTGTCGTTAAACTGAAAAACCACACCCATAGGTTTAGGGAAATAAAAGATTTGACCATTTGTTTTGTTATTTGCCTCGTCAACTCATCAAAGCCCTTAATGAAAGGGCTGATCCATTGCAAGCTTAGCTTGGTGTTGCTGGGGCTCGCCTGAGTTCACCTTCCTGAAGTGTTACAAAGAAACCCACCTCATGCTTTACAGCTATACCTCCGAATTCCTGTTGATTGGCAGAAAGATTACACCCCTTTATAGCTATTTATTTTACTTTTGCTAAACTATTAAGCTTTTTCATGCATTGTTATCGGTTAAATTTTGTAAGCACGTTTTGCTTCTCAAATAACTTTTTACCATCCAGCCCCAAAATGGAAACACAAATCAAATCTGAATAAACATCATGATGTGTGTACATTCTGGAGTGCATGAATCACCATATTTGTAGTTGAAAAGGTAATTGATGGCGTCTTTGTTTACTTCAAAATTCTCAGGCTTGCAAGAAAATGTCCAAGAACCTCGCTCAGATGCAGACTATACAAGAACAGGTTTGCTTACATAATAGCCATCTCCTTGTGCCTTGTGCTTGCATGGGCTTGTCTTAGAGACTCACTTAGAATTTCTGCTTTGTTCGGCAAGTCCATGATATGAAATTTGTGTTACAAAATATGGGGTTTCTTTTATGCCCTAAAATCTAACTTCTTTTAACAATATTGTTTATTATATTTTTATATCCATCTGAGAAATTCCTGTAAGCTTTGTTTTTATTTGATCCAACATTCTTTACATGGGATAGCCTGGAATGTTCATTTTATTCAATCAGGTTTACCTCCAGAGGTTATCCTTGCACCAACTCTTTGTGATGACCTATTTCAACCAGGCATGCTAGTAATTGCTTCTATCAAGATGGGTAAATTTAAAGTTGCACTGGCACTTTTAACTGGTGAATTCTGCCAAAACGATCGAAAAAGATGTTAAGGTTCTAAAAGTTAAGCAGAGTGATGAAGAAATGATAGATAAGTCGCTTGAGGCTAAGCTTGTTGAACGGCAAGGAAAAGGTACTTTCTCTCTACTTGGAGAGTTCATGTTCTTACAATTTATCCTAAACCTGAAATTAGAAAATGTTCATCCCAGTGGAACAACTGGATGAAATAAGAAAGCAGTTAGAAAAGGAAAGAGATTTTAGGTGTGAGGCCGCCACAAAGGAACTCAATAATGTGAAGTTGGAAGTGGAATCAATGAGGCGTGATCTCGAATCAAGGCAAGCCAAGATTGCAGCTGTGGTTGCAGAGGTAGTGTTTTTTTGTTTTAAATTCTAATGTTACACCATATATATATATATATATATATTTGTATCAGAAGTGGCAGTATTTTGAGTTTTCTTATGCCCTCCGTCTATTAGGTTGATACTATCAATATGAAGATTAATTCGATAAAAGAATCTGGGGCAGTCACCTGGCAAGAGTTAGGTCATAAATGTGAAGAGATTCAGAGAGAGGTGAGCTTCCCTCGACATTTGTCTATTATTCCCCGTGTATGCATATTTCTCAGTTTTGGTATTGAAACTAGGCTTCCATGCTTGACTCAACCAGCTGTAAATTATAATGCATCTCTCTATTTTCTTTTTTGATTTCTTTGTCCGTGGGAAATAAGGTTTGACATTGAGCTGGGCCCCCAAACCTGCCGCGGGCTTGGCCCAGATGAGCTTTCAGGTCAGGTTGATGAGTAGGCCAACAGGCTGAGATTTAAGGTCTATTTTTTGAATTTTTTTTGTTTTTCATATTTTTCTATATTTTCTAACAATCAAGGGCCTGCCCAACGGGCCGAGCAGGCCACTGGCCTTCGAACCAAATGATAAAAATTTCCCGCTATATCAGATTTGAAAATTTCAGCCAATTTGCTACATCTTTTGAATTACATGCTTTCAATGAATCTGTTTTTTGACCAATGGCCCAATACCGAAATGTGGGTACATTGGATTATATTCTTGCTTAGTTTTGCCCTTGAGATGGAATCATAAATGTTTTGGGATATAAAATGGTTTGTGTTATTTCTGGTTGTAGTTTTACAAGTATTTAAACTCCATCGGAGGCTTGTTGCCGAGGATTGAGGTGGAGCCTGGACTTGAGCATGGAAGGAGCAGATCCACCTAGAGCAAACAAGTGCATGTATTTCAATCACTGGTCGACTGCACTGCACAGAGCATACTATTTTGTTCTTCTATTTAAGGATATCATACTATCCCAGTGTTCCTCTCAGCTAGATGTAGAGTCAGAAGAACTTTAAGATATTGTTAACAAAGTGTAGTTGAGCGAGCGTTGGCTAGTTCAGATTTTTGTACAGAAGCAACCTTGTTGTCTTAATTTTTAATTGTTCCGGGAACAGAGTTGGATGAACCTTGCAATGGTCTAGCTTGATTGAATTTCAAGCTTGAGCTAGGCTCAAAATTTGATTATTGTATATTCCAATGTGCAATTCATTACCATTTTTGAACTCTCGCATGTTCGCACAACCCGAGCTATTGAATCAAAAAGCTCGGCACCGAGGTGGTCGGAAAAGGCTTGGGTTGTAAAAGCTATCTTCAATTCTCGACTCTCTTTCGCACTTGCCAGGATCTGGGGCGTGGAGCTTAAGGAAGTCATTTGTATTGGTCAATACATTGGAACTTGAAAAGCAACGTCTTGGAGCTTGAATCCGTTTAGAGACACACCTGCACGAATATGAACAATTTGATTAAAATTTGGTGCTAGTAACTGCCCAACAGAGGAATTCAGTGCTTGCAATTGCTCATCAGATGCTCGAGAAACTGGGGATGGCAATGGCGATGATGCAACTTCACCAGGATCAGGTATGGTTGGCTGAACTTTAATATTTGGGGCAACTGATGGGTGTTGACCCGACGTGGAATTATCCTCTGAAAGCTGTTGAAGTGGTTCAGGAATATGAACTTCTGACATGTCAACTTGCATGTCTGTTTCGGAAAACTCTTTTGATTGAATGTAAGAACTGAAATTTACCATCTTTTAGAGATTTGACACAAGTTCCGATCAATGAGTAGAAATCTTTTTCCCATGACCACTTTTTTCCTTTGCTTGAAAGGCGTTTTGAGAGCAGCCCCCTTAACTATATCTCCTTCAATCCTACTGCCACTACCTACAACAGAACCTTGAGGCCAAGAAGGGCTACTTTTTCATAATCAACATCTAGAGCACCATTACTACTACCCTCACCAAGGTTCGCAAAGCAGAGTATTGCCTGACTCTTCTTAGGTGAAGCAATCTTCTTGTCCAAATCTTCGACCATAAAATCTGAACCATTTTTCAGAGATCGCTCCATCGAGTCCCAATCAAAACCAAAATCATCACAAAGGGTATCTTTGATTAAAGCTATTTCAAGTGGATCCATATACAAGAACATGTCATGTGGTGTTAGACATCTCCTATTGTTTGGACTACAATACAACCACTGTCTATTGCAATAGCTTTACTTTTCTCTTCCCTTGAAAATTGCCTAGTGGCCGACTCAGAGTTGAGAAGGAATCCTTTTTTCAACGTAGATACAAATACCCCAGAACACCAGGAAGAGAACAGGTAGAGAAAAAACAAAAACAAGGAAAGAAGCCTGACTCACAAAAACTAGAGAAAAAGGATAACTAACAAACACAACTAAAAGTAAGAAAAACAACCAACACAAAACAAACTAAGATAACCATCCAGCAACAAACCCACACCCAGATATCTACCTATAAAAACAAGCCAAAGAATGCTACAAGAGGTCAAGGAACTAGTCGGAAATACGAAGACAGGGAAAAGGGAAACTTGGGTCTGCTGTAAAAAGAAGAGAAGGTCCAGATCTGCAACACCTAAGAACAATACCGAAAGGAAAAAAACAGGGGAAAAGAAAAGAGAGAAAAATGGGAAGAGGAGAACAGGATCAGTCGGGGAAGATCAGTCAACGTTGAAAAAAAGGATGCTTAAATCGGCTCAAAGAATACACCTAGAAAATGCAAAGATATTACAACACTGTGAGGATGAGACTACCATCACTTATCTATGTTCTCTCTTTTCTCTTTGTGCTCCATTCCAGAAACACCACCCCCACTATAATCAAAGCCAGATTTGGAAAATTGTTCTGTGAAATCACTTAATCTCTGCAACCCTCCATCGAATTATTCACCGTGTTAAATCGATTAAGGAATTTCTGCCACTCAGAGTTTACCCAAGAAATTTCAAGCTCAATGCACCTAGAAAATGGCCCCATGGGGTCAAACATTAAGTAATTGGGTTTCTATTTTTTCTTTTTTTAAATCAACAGATCTGGAAAAAAGCTCAAACAATACATAACTGCTGTTGTATTGTAGATCTAGTTTGTGTTTGTTGTTGTTGTTGTATGAACCTGAAGGAAAAGCTCAAAAGAATACACATATAATTAGATATTTTAGTTATGGGTTCGATATCCTTTTACATACATAACCTCAGTACAGAGAAGGAAATAAATTTCAAAATACACCAGACTTCACATATGTCACTAAACATACCGTCTTATATGATACACAAGATCCAATGATTATTTAATTGTATCTGCTTTGGAGATAGATAATGATATATTTGTAGCAGATATTGTTGTATCTGACCTCTCGTGAGAAGTTAGTCCTCAGCCAAGAAGCTTTAACCACTTGTACAACAGGATGGCTATAGCAAATAAAATAATTGGAAGAGCAATTATACCTCCAACAATCCAACACCACTGTCCAAGGGTTGCGGAATCAAAGAGAGAAATGTCGATGTTCATGCCAAAGTAACCTGAAGCCACGATCCCTGAGTGCATCATTAGAGTTGCTGTAGAAATAATTACGCCCATTCGCAGGAGTTGATTCTGTTTGTCATCCAATACGATGTTGATGTAGTCCTCTGTGTTGTGGATGTATTCGCACAGCTTTAAAAACCAAACAAGAAGAATTACAGCATTAGAATTATCTTGACAGATTCACGAATTGGTTTCTCATTACAGAATGAATAACAGATAATTCTCTGTCAATATCACTCTCTCAACTCTCTTTCAATTTATTTCACAATTATTATTTTATTTTTTTTCTCCTTTGTCTTCATTGCTGAAAATTTTAAAAAGATTTTTTTTTTGGATGGAGGACAAAGAAATCAAAGACAAAAGACATGAGGTATAGGACTGCATGATAAAGAATTTAACCAACTAGAAATATTGACACGTTCCTTGATTTTGTATAGTTAAAAGGAGTTGTCATTATTTTCATATAGCACACTAAAGTCGTATAACATCATTGTAATTTCGGTATACACGTCATTGAAGAGAAGATCAGCTGTGCTATATGCACATAAATTTTTCATAGAACCAATCACAGAAGAAGGGTGGAACCCACATGTGGAACACTTATCATTTCCCCGGGAGGATTGGGAAAAAGGAAGCGGGGAAAGTAGATGGGAGGACGGAAACAGTTTCCTTCATTTGGCGGGAAAGAAAGGGGGTAGAGAAAGAAAAACTTCATCAAAATCAATCTTCCCAAAATGTATGAAGAGGAAGAAGGGAAAAAGGGAAACATTTTACTCACATTTTCCCCCCTTCAAATAAACACCCTTTCGCTAATAAGTAAAAATATTTTGGTGAAACAAAAGTAACACTTTCTGCTCAACCAATCAGACAGACAAAGAGAGTACCCTCTGCTCTGTTGTGCTTTCCATCCCTCCTAACTCTTCTTTTTCCTCTAAAGTTCCCAAATAACCAAACAAATCTACTTTAGGGGTTAGAAGTAGGGTAGCATTATCTAAAAAGTAAAAACGAAGAGAAGTTTAATGTACCGTCGATAGTTTGTTTAATATTCCTTCTATTTGCACAAAGTAGGCTCCCAATAGCATTTCCAACTCCTCAACATTTGGTTTGAGATCACTTACATCTATAGTACTGCTTTTGCTGCTCACGTCCTCATCACTGAAAATCGAAAACCAAGAAACATGATGAATCACATTGAATTAAAATTTATTAAAAACTAAGAACAACTTCTTTGTTTATTAATGCCTTAATAGTTATAGGTGAAGGAAAAATCAATACCTAGACAGGGTTCAAATTAGATTATGAGATTTATCGGGAAAACCAAGATCAAACCTAAACTAACATTGAAAAATTAGACTATGAGATTTATTGGGAAGTTACTCAGTGTTGCTGCAAAACCAACATTGACAATGTAGTTTTGCAATAATGTCTTGATGATCTGTGTATAATAAAGACATGCAAAGATATTACAAGAATCTAAATGGAAATTAATTTACCTGTCATTGCCCGATTTAAATGCATTTGCATCATTCCCTAGTTCATCTTCTAAACCTTCAAATTGCAAGGTGGCAAGCCTATCAGTCAAGTACATTTGAGCCATATCTAAGTCATCATCCAGTAGATGTTCAAACTCATCCCTCACCTATAAAATATACGGCATAATATCATTATACTGGATCAATTAGCTACTTTTCCGAACAAGAATAAATTTTTTATAGAAAAAGGAAAAAGAAAAGAAAAATCCCTTATCAAGAATTAATATGATGAAATGGAAAGCAATTAATGACACTAAAAAGTGATGAGTATTAAAGAAGTCAATGCGATAATACTATACCTTCTGCACACGCCCAGACAGAGCAACCAAACGACCTTTTATGACTCTCACGTGTTTGAGATTATGCGTACTGGTTTTAGCTGATAACTCATCTAAAGCTGGATATGCCTCTTCTTCTAATGTGGAAGTCTGGATAAATACACCAACATGGATTTGTAAAAATTACATCTCTAAAGAAACTGAAATTAGACCACTTTGATGACATAGTTAAGCATTAACTAAAAACTGAAAACTCAACTTCTAGTGAAACATAATTTGTGAAAAAAGAAAAAGAAAAAAGGTGAATGCATTCAAAGACCAAGCATGCTTCAACGGTATCTCAGTAAAAGGTCCACAACCAACAAGACGATTGATTCACAGCATTTGATGCATGATTTACGTTGTTTGAAAGATTTAAATCTATCGTTCTATCTGTTGATAAGATACAGATAAGAACGACAGGCTGGAAAAGTTCAAGAAACACCAGTACTAGTGCTGATTGAAGGATGTTAGCACAAGTTTAAGAGTGAATAGGCAAAGTGTCAAAGGTTTTTTTTTTACCAAACAGGTAGAAGAAGCTATTTGGATTTTTCTAGTGAAATTATAATTCTGTCTTTCTTAATTCTGTTAATTGACTTGGCCAGCTAAACTAATTGGCAAATTCAGCTTTTCCCATAAAGGGCATATTAACTCGCTTTTTGATGGATAAATTGAACACATGAAAGGTGTCGAAGACCTAAAAAGTTGTGTGATGCCAAATTATGGTTTAAAGATCTGAGGATGTTGCTGCAAGATGATGGGGTGGTTAATGGTGTCATAAATTCATCTAAGATACAAAAAAAATCAGGGTGCTTATATATTTCATGATGTACACAGAAAATATAAAGAAAAACATAAATAAGAAGTATAATAAACTACCATCACGTCCATGATTTTGTTATTTGAAATGGATGAGAAATCCCATTTTGAAAATACGAGACATAATGTAAATGCAGTTTCTTACCCAATGAAAGCTTGATCAAAACTGTCAATTTCCCTAAAACTGATATGCTAGTTTTTTTTATCACAGCTCAAGTGAAGAAGTAGAAATACAAAGCAAAAGCGTTAGGACATATATATATTAATAGTCATACCTCAGATTCAAGGCCCCTGCAGACAGATTCTAGGCAAATCTCAAAAGCTCTGAACTCAAATGGCAATGGCTTTGAGTTCCCCCTATTTGACCCTTCATCTGGTGATTTAGGACTGCTATCACTTGCCTCCAGTGGCGTATTAGAGGGTGATTGTTTCATAGCTTTATCGCTTCCCATAGTGGCCTTCACAAAGCAACACAATCAATCATACACCTCTTTTTAAATTATATCAATCGTTAGGTGGTGTCATGATGCTAAAGTTTCTTTTTTCTTTCTTTTCTTTTTCTATCAAAGTAACAATAAACTGGATATATTATTCTCTGCTTAGCAATATTTAGGAAAAAAAATTAATTAACGAACAATTTGGGCTTGTAACTATCATCTGTCCACTTACGTTTATTAACTATTATAATTGGATCACCCAAAAAAAATCACTTTTTTTGCAATTATATTGCAAAATATATATATACAATAATAAGGAAAACGGAAATGGCCATTGCCCAGTGCTGGTCTACATTAGTCGAGGATTCCAGATTGGGTGGATTGGTATGGATCTAACTTTTCTTCTCATTTACACAAAGTCGTAGTTCATTGCACTAAAACCCACATTCTCATGGTTATAAGCTCGAATTTTTAACAATTATATTAAAAAAACAGGATGTCTTAATTTTTGATCCTGTAAAAAAGTGTAAAAAAAATTTTCTCAGCTTGCTCAATTTTTTTCATGTTGTGTTGTTGACACAAAATTCCAAAAACAAAATTACACTAATTTCACCCAACATATTGACAGATCAACCCACTAAAATAAATCATCAGAAGAATGATCACACTAATCACATCAAAATTAAATTAACTTCATGATAGAAATGAAGAAAAGTACTTACACCAAAATCAGAGAGCTTGAATTCGAGATCGCCAACAAATGAAATCATAAAAGGGTCTTTAGGGTTTGGTACCAGAACTTCATTTGCAGTTATAATCGCTTTAATATGTTCCAAATTCACAACAATAGCCCTCTCTCTTCGGAGAATCGCAGAGGAGTTCGAGAGCTCTGGTTCAACAACCCTCAAATCCTGAGCCTGAACTCCACTCCTCCGCATTATCTCTTGCTTCCCAAGCTCTTCGATTCGAGAGTTCCCCAATTTTGAGACGACGAACCAGGTCCTCACTCCGGAGCCCTTCCTTTTCGCCTGAAGCTGATAGGGAATGAGAAGAGAAGTTCGATTGAACTCGATCTGATCCGCCATTTTCTAGACAAATTCGAGCTAGGGTTTTGGTGGTGAGATAGAAAAGACTAGGGATTTGTGCAGGTGAGATTTGGATACATATATATATATATATATATTATATGTATATTCAACGAATTTTTAAAAATCATCTGGGGGCGGGAATGATGGTTAGTTGGGGGTAGTTTTAATTAGAATCATGCGCATCTAGAATTTTCACAACTATTGGAGAATGGATATTCTAACATACACACCCTTTTTGAGGTTGTACCATATATATTTTTAAATATATCATTTTCTTCGCCTGAAGCTGAGAGGGAATGGGAATGGGAATGGGAATGGGAATGAGAAGAGAGGTTCCATTGAGCTCAATCTGATCCGCCATTTTTTAGACAAATTTGAGCTAGGGTTTTGGTGGTGAGATAGAAAAGGGTTTGATAGTCCATCAATAGAAATAGGGATTTGGGCTTAAATGGTAATCGTAGCTGATACAGGTGAGATCTGGATACATATAAGTTACATGTATAGTCAACGAATTTTTAAAAATCATCTGGGGGCGGGAATGATGGTTAGTTGGGGTAGGTTTAATGGTTTTTTCCTATTTATCAAAAT